GATGATTCTAGTTTGATTGCTGGAGGTTTTGCAGATTCAACCGTCAGAGTGTGGTCTGTGACTCCCAAAAAGCTTCGTAGTGTCAAACAAGCAGCAGGTAACTAAGATGACGTGTCAGGAGGTAAACTCATTACTTTATACCAATCTTGATTCCATGGAATATACACAAGAGATTGTGACCTTTACTGACTTTCACTAGATTTTACCTCAAAATACTAACATTCTTGACAATGAAAAGTGCATTGGAGTGGCAATCAGGAGATTGGTTTAATTACTCTGGGCCTCAGTTTTCTCAGCTGTAGAATGAGGGGATTAAGCTACAAAACTCCTTAAGGTTAAAAATCTAACGTTTTATGACTGTTTGCTTATGAATTTTAAAAAACCTTTAGTCTACAGCCATGCCACCCTGAACATGCCTGATCCCGTTTGATCTTGGAGGCTAAGCAGGGTCAGGCCTGGTTAGTACTTGGATGGGAGACCACCTAGAAGACTGGGTGCTATAGGTGTAAAATAAAATAAAATAAAAAATAAAAAACCTTTAAATAGTGGGAGAATGTTTTCTGTTTTAGCCATAAAAATGGCTAAAAAAGAATAAGGTCAGGATTTCATTTTAAGAAGCTTCTTGCTAACCGTTGTTTAAACAAGATAATACATTTTCAGTAATTTAATATTCCCTCGTTTTCATTTTTGTGAAACATTGTGATACAGTAGATAAACTTGAGTTTCAGTCCTAGTTCCAACATTGAATAGCTGTGTACACTCTGGCAAATGAACTGTTCTGAAGCTGTTTCTTCTCCTATACATTGGGATAGTATCACCTAACTTAGGGGCATTAGCACAGTGGGTGGTGTATAGGATGAATTGTTCAAATGTTAGTTCTTCTCCTGAACTGTGATGTGATTGCTTTAAGATGTCTTAATGAATGTACTTTTAAAAAATCAGTATTTCTGGACCATTTTAGATCTTAGCCTAATAGACAAAGAATCAGACGATGTCTTAGAAAGAATCATGGATGAGAAAACAGCAAGTGAGTTGAAGATTTTGTATGGTCACAGTGGGCCTGTCTATGGAGCCAGCTTCAGTCCAGATAGGTAAAGTACAAACAATAAAAATTAAGTGCTACTGTATTATATTGAAATTATGTAAATGTTAACTACTGGAAACATTATGCAAATGTTGCAAAAATTCCTGTTAGAAAAATCTCATGGTTGCCTGTCATTCATTATCGTGCCATTTTAGAATCTTGCCATTTGCTAATTCATCTTGGGGTACTGATATAAAAGATAGCAACAAAATATATACCTGAATTTACAGAATCAAAATGCAGAGCTTCAGGGTTTGTTGGTTTTAAAAATTAGCTTTAGTTTTGTATAACCTTGGTAGGGTTTTGATTTGCTTCTTTGGGTTTTGTGGCTACTGCTGTCTTCCATCATCTTCAAATTTACAACAGATTCCTGATATGAAAGGCATATTAGTTATGAATTGAAGATTTATTCTTGTATAATCAAAAGAACTAGGAGGATACTAAGGGGAATTTGAAACTCATAAATAGGTATTTGCCTATTTTTTATGATCTCTAACATTGTTGGAATGAGAGAAGGGTGTTTCGTATTTATCATACCATCTGTATCTTCCTTGGACAGCTTTTAATCCATCAAGATTTTCATCTTTATGAGCCTCTGAGAATGAGGTTTTTGTTGTTTGATAAGGTTTACCCAGAGGATACATTTTTACTTGAGAGGAACTTTTGATTTCAATGAAAGCTATAATACTCTGAGTAGTTCAGCTTTTATATTTATCCTTGAAAAAGGTAGAGTATTATTCATGTGTCTATAGTGTTTTTTATTTTTATTTTATTTTTTTTTTGTCAAGATATTTTCTTTTAAATTCTTAAACAACTTATACAGGATAGGAAAATAACATTTCCATTTTAAAGTAAAAAATTGTTTAGGTGTGACATATCACATTTCTTAGAAGCCTTTCTCAATTGACCTTATTTGACCATACTTTTTGTCATTGTCCTTTTTTTTTTTTTTTATTTTTTAAGAACTGTGATTTTCCCGAATAGATTTTTAAAAATATCTAAACTCATTCAGTAGGTGCTCAGATGTAGGGTGTCACGGCTAACATTAGTTAGTACTTTCAACTCTTGTTACCTACTGTGCATTTCATGTATAAATTGCAAGTGAGAATGTAGCATGTCAGCTATATTTACTGTAGTCAAATGTACAGAGAAACTGGACAGGCAACTAAAAGTTATTCTGATAATCAAATATATTACCTTCTGTTCTCTCAGGAACTACCTGCTTTCCTCTTCAGAGGATGGAACTGTTAGATTGTGGAGTCTTCAAACATTTACTTGCTTGGTGGGATATAAAGGACACAACTATCCAGTTTGGGACACACAGTTTTCTCCATATGGATATTATTTTGTGTCAGGGGGCCATGACCGAGTAGCTCGGTAAGAACATCTTGCGACTGGGTCTGTTCTAAGAACAGAATGGTTTCTTGTTGGGAATTACAAACTCCAGGCAAACTGATTTTCACTTCTGTTATTCAGGATCAACTTTTTGAGGATGTCAGCATTTATAGCTCCCTATCTGAAAACGGATTTGGGAAGGAGTATTACTCTCTGTAACCATGTCTATGCCAAGAGTCCTGAGCCCTGTTTTTCTTCCTCAAGTTAGCTTATTAACACACGTTGCCTGCCTCCCATCAGCTGTCTAACCTTGTCTTTCACCACTGTAGCACCTTTGTTTCCATCATCTCCTTTAAAGCTCAGGATGAGGTAGCTCAGGTGAGAAACTATATGATGGCCAAAACTTTTCTATGGGTTAGACTAGGAGCTGGGGTAAGAGAAAGAGGTGGGGGTGGGGTGGGATATACAGAGAACTGAATAATTATAAAATTAAAAAATGTTTGTACTAGATCAACTTAGTTTTTAAGAATGTTATTTAGTCTCAATCATTCCTTCTTTCCCTCAGGTAACTAGTCAGGGAGCCCATTTGAAGCTAACATTTCACAGGGATGTTTATTTTAGATAAAATTTTCACATTTCATACTTAACTATTAATCATCTTTTGCTTTTAATAAATTTTTTAAAAGGCTCTGGGCTACAGACCACTATCAGCCTTTAAGGATATTTGCTGGCCATCTTGCTGATGTAAATTGTACCAGGTTCCATCCAAATTCTAATTATGTTGCTACGGGCTCTGCAGACAGAACTGTGCGGCTCTGGGATGTCCTGAATGGGAACTGTGTAAGGATCTTCACTGGACACAAGGTATTTTTACACCTTCATTAGTCTAGCATACGAGGTTGCTTTTGAGATAAAAATATTTTAAAAATTAACTGGTAACCCTTTTTAAAGATACTATTCATACCACTAAACTTAAAAATTCTGTCTTTTTTTCTTAGATATTTTTAGCCTTACTTTTGACCCTTCCCATGGACTTTTTTTCTAGGGACCAATTCATTCCTTGACATTTTCTCCCAATGGGAGATTCCTGGCGACAGGAGCAACTGATGGCAGAGTACTCCTTTGGGATATTGGACATGGTTTGATGGTTGGAGAATTAAAAGGCCACACTGATACAGTTTGTTCACTTAGATTTAGTAGAGACGGTGAAATTTTGGCATCAGGTAAATGATTAGAAATGACTTTGTGGTAAAGGGTCAATAGTATGTTAAAATACTTGAGTGTTGACAATTGCAAAATTAAGTTCTGCTGTTTTAGGTTTTGCTTTTCCTTAGCCATTATTCCAGAGTGACGTCTTACTTGTATATTGACTTCTCAGGATAAACTACTTGAAATGCTCCTTTAGAAGGAACAGAGCTATTAATCAAGTTTAGATTTTTTACCAATCATATACAGTAAATACACATAGTATACTTGACAAAATGTCAGAAGCTAAATATAGTAGATGCTAATAAATGGTCTCCTTTGACTCTCCCTTAGGTTCAATGGATAATACAGTACGGTTATGGGATGCTGTCAAAGCATTTGAAGATTTAGAGACTGATGACTTTACTACAGCCACTGGGCATATAAATTTACCTGAGAATTCACAGGAGTTATTGTTGGGAACATATATGACCAAATCAACACCAGTTGTACACCTCCATTTTACTCGAAGAAACTTGGTTCTAGCTGCAGGAGCTTATAGTCCACAATAAACCATCCGTATTGAAGACCTTTTGGAAGCTACTGTTTGAAAAAGGGAGACTAAAAGCAAATACCTCAGTGATTAATATTTAAGCTACAAAGAATGTTTTGTCTATACGGATCTGGAAGTATGCTGCTTGGAAAATCTGAATAGGACAGTTCCACGTTTCTATAGCAACCACATTTAACTAATTTCCGTTAGTTGAATAAGAGGTATTATGTTTGTGGAGGGGACATTATGGTGCTTTGGATTGTGTGGAAACTATGCATTTTCTGTTCAAATCCTATTTTAATTTATTATGTTCAGAAAAAAATTGATTTCAATAATTCATCTTCTAGATTCAGATTGAGTAATATAATACCATCTTGAATTTTAGCTGAAGAATTCTATGAGCATGTATGTTTCTGCTGTAAAAATGTAGTTACTGTATGGCACTCAAGTACTATTTTAAATGATCCACCAATATTTTTGCTTGGCCCATGACTAGTGGAATGTATATAACTGGGTAAGGTGAACTACAGTTCCTAAGAGTCAGATAAAGTACAAACATCCAAGGACACCTGAATTTACATCTGTTAGATTTTGAGTGCTCCTAACCACTCTATAAACCAGGTGAGAAATTTAGCTTTCTTTCATGTTCTACTTCAGCTAAAATAGCTATACACAACCTAGTACACTTGAAGTCAGACAGACATTTCAGTTGCTTACCTCCAATACTGAGCCTTGCTTTGGGAAACTAAAAGATTCAGACCAAGTCACTGCCAGTTTTTTTGCCTTTGTTGCATTTTGTACAGTTTTTATATTTTTGATACCTTGTAAATAAAGACAACCAGCTTTTCCAGGTTCATAATTTATTGTACAAATTGAGTATCACATGATGAATTGACATTAACTTCTCCAAGCATGAACAGACGAGGTACAGTTTAGAATCCTATAAAAAAAAAGAAAAATAGTTTAGGCACAAATATGTTTTAAGACATTCAGTAAATTACAAGACTGTGAACCCTCTGAAATTGAATGCAAATCCATCAGATTGTCAAAGGAGTTAACTCCTTCACCCCAAATTAAGGTGTCTCCCAACTAAAGTCAATTTAACCTAACACTCCACGTTTAACAAAAGAGTTGCCCACAATTCAGTATGATCCTAAACATACACTACTGGAAAATTCGAGTACATAAACATTTCAAACAGCAGAAAACAGGTATGTATCTGTTATTAAATATCTGAGACAATTTCTCCATTTGTATAATGGGGATATTACAACTCTCTCAAAGTTAGGTACCTAACATGGAAAATTAAACAAAATACTACGTATTTGTCAAGACTAAGCCATATACCACTGCATTCTGGGATATGCAGTTCCCTAAGGACTGGAAAAGCTCTTAAGAGCAGAGGGAAAATTTTGTTTGTGGAGACCTACATTAGATAAAAGATCTGTTTTTGGGTTTTCAGTATATATCTACTGCCAACACAAATATTTATTCACTCAGCATGGGCAAATGGGGGTTGGGAGCACTATAAGAAGCAAATGAAGTCTGGGGATTTAAAGAAAAGATAGAACTGCTTATAGGAAAATTTCAAATTAGCAAAAAAAGGATATAATTGCAACTGATTTAAAAGGGTGGTTAATAATTGTTACATAAAGAGTTTCTATGAGAGAAATAAGGTCTTCACAAAGTCTCAAATGAGAAAAACACAAGAGAATAAAAATACAAATGGTAAATGTAAAACATCAAAAAGACAAATTATTTTTATTCATCAAATTAAAAACCAGAAACATTCAACATTTGGGCAAGAGAGACAACTTCTCACGAAGGTGGGTGCCCCACAATCCTTTGGGAAACAACTTCAGCCTAAGAAAACAATCGTAGATATAGACTTCAGGCTCAAAATCAGGCATAGTAATGTTATTTCCATTTAAAAAAATCTAATAGGAGACAGATTTCCTCTGCAAAATCATATATCCGTGAGCACTCATTCAAATTAACAAACATACTCGTTATAAGAGAAAACAGTCATGAATCATAGCCCATGAAACCCAAAGAAAATACACAAAGTTAAACCAAAATGTCAACTAAAATTGTCAGGGTAATGGAATATGTGTAATATTTTTTTCTTGTATGTAATAAATTTTGAATAATGATAATTCACTTTTATAGTAAGGGGAAAAAACCATAACATCAAAATAGCCAAGTTATAAACTTTTAAATAAATGTCAGCTCCTTACCTTTTATGTTGCTTTCACAGCTGGAGTTTTTTTAGATCTTAACTTGAAGTATAAAACAAGCAAAGCAATGCCTCCATATGTGGCCAGTACACACTGAAAGAAAGAAAAAAGTAAACAGGAGTCGCTGATACATTATTCTAAAATATAACTGCTTAAAGGCATTAATACTTACATTCATTCTACCTGTGATCGTATAAGAGTTGAAATATTTCTTAATGCCAGTGAAATGGAACTGGGCATCAGCTTCTGGACCTGCCATGATTTCAATCTTAGAAAGAAAGCAACAATAAATTGGTTCAGATGCAATTTAAAAAACAAGTTTATGTTTAAAAACTTGAAAAGTTATCACATATGAATGTAAGTTTTTTATGTATAGTCTTGCCTAACATAGCAATAGCAAGCAAATGCTGGAAAAAGCCGTGAACACGAGAATCTTCTGGAAGGAAGACTTTACACAACACTCCAGAATATATGTCAAATCGCTCAGCATAAGAAGAGAACATGGTTGTCTATAAGTCCACCCTCTGACTCAATATTGCTTGATGTTTTCATTCCTGGCTCTATCTATATCATAGTATAATGTACATGGAATTAATCAGTTTTAAGATTAGCTGAAAGTTGGAGCTTGTGAAACTTCAAAGTTTGTCAGAGGGGTAACCACTAACTAAACAGCTTAACTTGCAACCACTCCTACAGTTTTTAAGACCTCCATGGTTAGATGGTGAAGGGATCATTTATGAAATGGAGTTGACACATAGCAGCTATCGGTGGTGGTGGGGAATCCTTCCTAATCCTTACATCAAAATAGAGAAAAGATTTAAATGTAAATGGTGAAACCAAAAAAATCCTGGAAGAAAACGGGCAAATATTTTAATCATTTTAGGGAAGGCAAAATAAGGACAAAAAAGGTGAAACATAACCAATCTCATGATCAAAAGAAATGTAAAATGAGATCAATATTTAACCATGAGACTGGCAAAGATAAAATTATGATAATAAGCAGTAGTAGCAAGAGTGTGAAAATAAGTGTTCCCTCTGTTCCCTAGAGCAGATCCCCAACCTCTGATCTGTGGCCTAGTACTGGTCTGTGGTCTGTTAGGAACTGGGCTGCACAGCTGGTGAGCGGTGAGCAAGCGAAGCTTCACCTGTATTTGCAGCCACTCCCCAGCGCTAGCATCACCACCTCAGCTCCACTTCAGATCATCAGGCATTAGATTCTCATAGAAGCACTGGTCCCTGGTGCCAAAAAGGCTGGGGACCGCTGCTAGAGTGTAAACTGGTACAATTTCCTTAAGTACAATTTTGTAGTATCTTTTAAATTATAAAATTAGTATACCCTTTAATCTAGTTGGTTCATTTGTTCTCCAGGAATTTACCCTTATGGAAATATTACAAAGTGGAAACATATTAAATGGTTCAAGGATGGTGACTGATATACTGTTTATGAAAATAAATGGGAAGAACTGCAAGTCCATCTATAAGGGACTGATAAATGGTTTCCACTGGAGGAAATACAATGTGTATAGTAATGACATGGAAAGATCTTTGTAATGTTAAAAAAAAAAATCCTATTTCTAGACAATGTATTACAGAGTACATCAATGGTTCTTAAAGTCTGGTCCATAGACTAGCAGCATCACCATCACTGGAAACTTGTTAGGAATGCAAGTTGTCAGGCCTTATACCTCAGGCCTACTGAATCAGAAACTCTGAAGCCCAACAATCTGTTTTAATAAGCCCTCTAGGTGTTTCTGATGCAGGTTCAAGTTTGAAAAACACTGCAGTAACAGAACACTCTGGAAGAATATTTAGTAAATTTTTCATAGAAGTTTTATCTATAGTACCTATGTATTTTACAAAGACATGTCTCTCTCTTATAATGAAAAATAGCAAAAGCATATGCAAAGGTCACCAGAACAATGCTTGGAAATTCGTATGTATGACCACCTATCTACCACGACCGACGCCACGCCGAGTCGATTGGCAACACAGACGAGCCGGTCGAGGTCCGGTCGAGATTGGTAGGCAGTGACAGTGATACAGCTGGTTCTTGATGAAATGGAAGAGGGAGAGATCTGTGAGGAAGCCATTGCTATGGAAACTGGTGCAACTGTTTACCATTCAAGGGCCTGCAGAGGCATTCCCATGCATAGAATTGCCAATAAAAATTTTGGACAAATGACCTTAATTTTGAACACTGTTTCAAGAACATTCTTGGAGCAATGAAAGAAATCTAAACTTTCTTGGACCCCCTCAGTAGCCTTGGCCTGTCCAGCCCAAGTAGGAAAATTGCCATTAAAAGAAATCTTTGTGATGTAGGTTTTATATTAACTGTTTCATTTTTCTAACTTGTTAAAGGCATACTCCTCCCCTACCCCCCAATTCACCTTCATGATACATTTTTACAACCTCATACTGTCAAGCAGGTTTCTAGGAGAAACCCTACAGAAAACAAGGACTTCATATTGTGGAATTAACCCCTATTACCTTGAGCCTAACAAAAATTTTAGGAGGATATGTTGTGCAACTCAAACAATTTAAGGTGCTTTAAATTTCCCGCTACACAATATGAGAAGAAGGCTGATGCTTGTGATATTCCACAGAGGACTAATTCTGACTGAAGAGAATGGTATAGGAACTGCGATTTAGTTTGGGTCTTAAAAGAAAGCTCTTGAGAAGCTGAGATGAAACGGAGTGAAAAGTGGGATGTTACTGCTGAGATAAACAATGCAAGCAAAGCTTGGAAACACTTAGGTCTGCACTCTTCAACAAACTGTTGAGTGCCTTTGTGGGATAACTGAACTGAACCTTGCTTTCCATTTGAGTTATGCTTAGGTTTATATTAATGGAGAAAATTACCTAAGAATAATTATACCAATTGTTACGTAGTAGCCTGTGGGAATGTCTAAGCAATAGAGTCTTCGCTTTTGTTTCTAATTAAGTGGCAAATAGCTATTAAATATAATTAATCCTTCTTCCATGCCTCTCCTCACTTGTAAAATTGCATTTCAGGAAAAGCCCAAAGTGATCAATTGCCTTGGCTACTTTCTATTTGTCGATACTGCGGTCTTCATGTATTACTGGACACCTACCTGGAATGGCGAGTTCACGCAGTAAAGGAGGCAAAAATGAGCTAGTCGCTCAGGTACCAAAACCAGCCTCCTGAACTTCAAGTTTACAGTTCTCTGTTCTGGCTCCCTCCTAGGAAAGGCCTTCCAGTTGACAGAACATAGTGAAATGAAAATCTAACCGGTTTACCGCGCGGGCCTGGCGAACTGCAGGGGCCGGGCCACACGCAACACTCTCTTTGACAAAGGCTGCAGCCTAGCTCAAGGAGGCCTGACTGGGCAGCTTCCTTAGCACAGCTCAGTGTAAACAAACTGCTGTGGGCATACAGAGAAAAAGAGGTTAATTCGGTTAGAGGTGGGGTCAGAAGCCCAAGTTCTCATCCAATATTACGTCACTGGGTGACCTTGGGGGACTTACTTCGCTGCGGGCCTCATTTTCCTCCAATGGAAAATGCAATCTAAGGGTCCTCGGGAGCTATGGGAGCCTTTGGAGGCACCTACACGCCTCGCCCCGAGTCTGTCCGATCCCTCGCGCCCCGGCCCTCGTGATCTCTAAGTCCTTTTCCATTCCCCACCGCTCTCGTCCCCCAAAGCGAAGCCATCAAGATGTTCCCGGACCAGGAACGATCTGGTCCTAGGTCTGTGCCACAAAGCAGAGGAGCGAGGTCCCAGCCCAAGATCCCCTCGACACCTACCTTGCAAAAGGCAAGAATTCCGCAGCCTGTGTCCTTCAACCTACGAAGCTGCCCCTCCGCTCGGCCGGAAGAAACCGCCTCCCCCGCACGCGATCAATCGACCTCAGCGATTCAGCCTTTGACATCGATTGGCTACGGTTCGAAGTCCCGCCCTTCCGCTTCCTGTCTCTAAATCCCCTCCCCCTGTGCGGTCCTGAGACCCAGCATAGCAACGGAAGAAGGGCGTTGAGCCCGCCCGCGCTTCCGGGAGGGCTGCGTTGGTCTGCGTGTGTACGGGTCTCCGCGTGTGTGGCTGTGGTGGCGCGGCCTCTGAAGTTGAGAGGTGCTGGCGTCGCGAGCCTGGTGAGTGAGGTCAAAGGCGGGAAGGGAGGAAAACTTGTGGCTTCTAGGTCTGTTCCAGGGCTAGGTCCCCTGGGTCCCTGCCATGCGCCCTCAGTGCCGGTGAGTGGTTCAACCACCCCAGCCCGGCTCAGAAGCCGGCTCTGCTCGCGTGGCTTCTGTAACATCACGTTCTGTCTCTGAGAAATAACTTAAATTCCTTCTTTGTCACTGGATCAACTGACTCTTTGAAGCTTCAGTTTCCCCTTGTTTGAAATGAGATTAATGATGAAATTCCCAACCAACTAGACTCCTCTGCACTTCACTATTTCTGTGAAACATACACCTATTTTTTAAAAAATATTTATAGGAGTTTATTTTAGCCAAAACTGATGACGTACACCCGGGAGCAAGATTTGAAATGCTCCCAACATACACTCATTCTTGATTCCAAATATTAGGCTCCCTCTCAATGGTCGTCTCCACTACAGCCTCAGACCTTTCTGCATTCTTATTCCCAAGTCTTTCCGAGCCAACCCCCTCCTGTCTTCCATTCTCACTTACACCTAGTTATGGTTCTCTTGATTTTTTTGAGAGATTCTCGAACTGAGAGACGGAACACCGAGGCAGTAAGCTGGAAGTAGCGTTTATTGATGCTGGCACGGGCTCAGCAGATTGTTATCCAAAGGCTGAGCCCCGATTGTAACATAATGGGCAGTTTTATACAGTCTTGTCATTCTTACACAGCTACAGATATAAGGAAGAACATTGGTTGGCAAGCTATGAGAAAACTGATGCTAGCTGGAGAGTCATTGGAAGAGGGAGGCAGTCAGGAACGAACTTGTTCAGGCAGGAAATGTCCAGGCAGGGTCAGGCTGCCACATTCCCCCCTTTGATGCTCAGACCCAGGACTGGGTCAGAGAGCATCATCTCCTAATTTTTGATTTAGAGGCTGGTACCTCTATAGCATGAGGACTTTTGCTGCAGTTTCTCTTTCTACTATAGCCTCTGTGAGGGAGGTGGTTGACCCGATAACAAGAGGCAACAGGCATGGGAGGAGGAGGCCATTCCCAAGGAGTAGGAGTACTATCCCAACTAAGGTCTTGAAGCCACCAAAAGTGAAGAACCAGCCTCCAAAGACGTTATTGGGGGTCCCATCCTTTCCAACTTTGGACGCACACATAAGCTATTTTCCTAATATTAGTAGCTATGGCAGTCAGGGCTTTGCCATTGTCATATTTTGAGGCGACAATCAGTCCGGTTAAACTTTCTGCACATTCCTCCTTCTTCTGCTAATAGATAATCTAAGACTAGGAGGTTTTGATAGATAGCTGACCACATATGGGATTGTTGCCTGGCAAGAAGCTCTAAGGCAGTTGCAGTCTCATTGGTTATGCTCTCAAGAACTGCTTGTAATCTAATGATTCAGTTAAACATGTGTATGGGGTTTCTGTAACCCCAGCTCCCATCTTGGGCCCAAGTTGTGGGGCCATAGCATTGGATAATATGTGGGGTGGCCATTTATCTCCCCCTCCTCCATGTTTGTTGTCCCCCCTATTTCAAGTGATCTCTAGTTCCGGCCTTTAAGTCTTGATATAGGGGAACACCTAGCTCATTTCCTCTTTGGTCAGGTAGAAGGAAGAAACCAGGCCGAATGCTCCCGACGGTGCAGTTTCCCTTCCAGTTCATCAGGAGTTGAATATAAGCCCACTTTCCACAAATCCAGGAGTCCATCGGGTGCTTTCCAGCTTTCGGGGCTGGTGTAATTGAGGTTTTTACAGAATGTGCTGATAGCTGGGATGGCATGGAAGGGATTAGGGACAATGCCATTCTCTATAGTAAGTTTGTGACAGTCGAGTTTTGGTTTGAGAGAGTGCCACAAGGAGGAGTTAGCTGCAGTATTATTGGGCCAGTACCAGGAAGGAGCCTTGGGCCACCAGTTTCGGTCTGTGATTTAAAAGTAGCATTCTTTTACATGGGGTTTCTCCAACCCACTGAATGTATCCTGGACCCATCCAGCTAAGACATTCTTCCCCTACCACTTCTGAGGAGAGGACCTAGCTCTGGGGTCGGCCCTTTTTGCGGCAAGCCACCGTGTAATTTCACTGTAGGAGGTAAAAAGCGTCTAGACTCGTTCCTTCCCAAGGCCAATGTTCTCTCATGTGTGCTCCTCCCCAAACCCAGCATTTAGTGACACCAAGTTCATGGGCTATCCTCTCAGCTAGGTCAACAAAGAGGTTCTTCCCTAGGGTTGGGAGGTCTAGGTTTTGGCCCAAGTTGGCCTTTAAGCTGATCATACATTTGTGAGCTTTGGGGCCTAGGAGACAGTGTAGGCTTAGGTGTGGTTGAATTACACAGCCATTGGACAAATTCTCTGACTGCTGGGCCCTCTGCATGGTTATGGGCCTCTTCTCTGCTTGAGGTCAATTGCCAACATACCTAAGTTTCCCCTTATTTTTCAGGCTCTTGGCAAGATTGGCTGTTTAACCTTTCTGTACCCCATCCCATATTGGAATCCCCAGTGAGTGCAGAGTGTGGCGTTTAGGGCACACCCTTTGGGTAGACTGGTTATGGAAGTGAAGCCGTTGACAGCGTTGGACCCTATCCTGTATCTTTGCATACAGGATAGGGAAGAAGTGGGGAGACTGGTGCCACATACGTGGTGGAGTAGGAGAAGGAAAAGAGTCTTTAGGGGTACCATCCTGATGAGATGTTGTCCTTAAGTTTCTGCCACACGTAGATTGTTCAGTTTCCGGTGTGACCAAAGCGGGGCCGATGTCTTACCCTTGGTCTGTTGGCACAGTTGGTGTTTTCTTCCGGAGGGTTGCCCTGAGGGGCTCAGAAGAGTCTGGAGCACCCTCCCACTCTGCAGCTGCACATTTAGTCTGCTGCGATGTATCCAGGGCATTATTTCAGCAACCTTAACTGCAGTAGGGATAGACAAAATGACAGTAAAGGGGCCTCTCTACAGGGGTTTTAGGGGCTAAATGTTCCACTCTGTTACCCAGACACCAGACAGAGTCTTCTGGCTTGAAGGAATGAATTTCAGTGGTTCAACTGACAGGGAACCTTTCCCTAACCCATTGGTTGAGAGTCTGGAAGGTGGTCCCCAGGGCCTGAAGCTGTTGTCTCAGAGTCAATTCACCTATTTCCTTGAGGGATCTTCATAGTCCTTTGATGACAGTGGTGGCTGCCCATACAGGATCTCATAGTGGGAGAACCCTGTCTTCTTGGTTTGGGCTGACCTGATTCTTAATAGTGCCATGGGGAGGACTTTGTTCCAATGTATATGTATCTTCTGACATAGTTTTCCCATCTGAATCTTAAGGGTCCTGTTCGTATGTTTCACCTGTCCTGAACTCTATGGTTGATAGGTGGTATGTAATTTCTATTTAATATTTAAATTCTTGGCTAGTAGCTGCACTATTTCTGCTACAAAGGCTGGCCTGTTATCTGAGCCAATGGTAATTGGTAGGCCAAATTGTGGAACAGTTTCTCAGAGAAGCAGTCTGACTACTTCTTGGGCCTTCTCAGTCTAGGTGGGGTAAGCCTCTACCCAACCGGAATAGGTGCAAAGACCAAGAGATATTCGAGGCCCCGTGATTGAAGCATTTCAGTGAAATCTACTTCGAGGTCTTCAAAGGGGGTGCCACTGACACTTTGGACCCCCAGTGGGGCACACAGCCCTTGCCTGGGGTTGTTGCGGGCACAGACTTCACACTGTTCACACACTGCTCTGGAGATGCTAGAGCCGGGGGACATAGAAGGTACTGGCCCAGAGTGGTTTCTAGGGCAGTGCGACCAAGGTGAATCCTTTGGTGAAACTGCTTAACAAAAGCTGGGGCGAGGGTCTCAAGGACTGCAATTCACCTGTCCTTGAACTTCCACTATCCACCGGGAAGGAGGCTGCTCCCCTCTTCAGTCTTAAACCAGGCTTCTTCTTGAGGTGAGTACTTGGGGTCCCCATTTGGCTAAGGGACTGGGAAACAGGGAAGCAGTTAGAGCCATAGGGCTAGCCATCTCCTCGGCCGCTGCCACTTTGGGAACATGGTCTGCCCTGCAGTTGCCCCGGGCTGTTATGGTGTCCCCTTTTTGATGTCCTCTGCAGTACATGACTGCTGCTTTCTTGGGCACCCACACAGCATCTGAGAGTTCTAGAATTTTCTTTCTATATTTTATGTCTTTTCCTCCAGACTTGATTAGACCCTTCTCTTTGTACAGGGCTCCATGTACATGGAGGGTGATGAAGGCAAACTTAGTCAGTGTATATGTTAGCACACACTCCTGCTGCCAGCTGAAGGTCACAGGTCAAGGCAATGAGCTCCACCTTCTGTGATGAGATTCCCCTAGGCAGAGGTTTTGCCTAAATGGTGGAATGTAGGGTCACCACAGCATATCCTGCAGGGTAGTCTCCTCCCCGGGAGACTGTCAAGTCTGTCAAGTCGGGTTAGCTGGAAAACACTTCATCCATGACTTCAATGCAATCATGGTCCGGCTGGCTGGACCCAAGGGGTAGCAAGGTCGCTGGGTTCAAAGTTTGTACTAGCTCTTGGCGAATGTGTGGATTCTCGCACAGCATTCCTTGGTATCTGACCACCTGGGCATTAGTTAGCCAATATTGTCCCTTGTACTCCAGTAATGTTATTACTGAAAGTGGTACTCAAACTGTCAGTTCTTGCTCCATAGTCAGTTTGTTGGCCTCTGACACAAGGAGGGCCATGGCTGTTAGTGCTCGCAAGCAGGGTGGCCAGCCCTGGGCGACAGAGTCAAGCTGTTTGAAGAGAGAAGCCACAGGACGGTGCCAAGATCCTAGCAGTTGGGGTAAGACCCCTACTGCGACACCCATGTGCTCGCGTACGTACAGAAAGATTTGGTTAAGTCTGGGAGTCCTAGTCCGTGGGCGTTAGTGAGTACCTGTTTGATTTCTTCAAAGGCCTTCTGTTGTGTAGATTCCCAGAGTGGGAGCTCCTCTTCTCCCCTCTTTGTGGCTTCATAGAGGGATTTGGCCAGGATGGAGAAATTAGCTATCCGCAGGAGCCAGCTGCTGGAAGGAAATTGCAGATTTGTCATTGGAGGGTGGGGACAGGAGTTGAACAGACCGTTTCCTTTCTGGGCTGAGTTGGTGTTGTCCCTGCGACAGGTGGAAGCTGAGGTATTTGACTCTTTCTTGGCAGATTTGAGCCTTCCTTATAGAGACCATGTACCCTACTTCCCAGAGGAGACTGAGGAGTAGATACATTCCTTCCATGCATTCCTCATAGGTCTTTCCTGTTCATAGGTGGTCATCTCATACTGAAGTAACGTACAGCTGTGTTGGTCTGCCAGGAAGGCCTTTAAATCCGAGGCTAGAGCTGTCCCAAAGATGGTCAGGGAGTTCTGGAACCCCTGAGGCAGCCATGTCCACATCAATTGACCCTTGTCTCTGCTTTCAGGACTTTCCCATTGGAAGGCAAAGATTGGTTGACTCTGGGATCTGCTGGCAACACAGGCTTCTTTTCTTTCAGCTGACCTTGGGAGGGTGCCAAGGCTCAGGCTAGGAGGACCCTACAGTTTTTCTCTAGACAGACTCTCAATCAAGGGGGTCGGGTGCAAACTAGTGCTTCCCAAGGATCGATATAAGAGAATTGGTCTGGGTGGCCAGGTGACATGAGAGACCTTTGCAATGACTTCCCTATCAGGAGATCCCTGTGCTGGCCATCCAGTGCCAATAGAGGGCCAGTCGATCTCACAAAAGGTGCGGAGTTTCTGTGGGGTGAGTTTAACTCCATAATCTCCTGAATAACTCTTTTTGAAATTCTTAAGCATACAATCTAAAGGTGTCTGTTTACTCTGTTGTCCACCCATCCTTCCTTCCACCTGTGGTCGGTGACGCACATGCACTCAGATTCGCTTCTCCCGTCCCTGGCAGGGCAGAGATCTTTTAGGCGTCTCTTAGCAATTGGTGACTCCCGACTCAGGTCACTGGAGTAGACTCACGGAGATCCAGTGACACAACCCTAAGCTGTATGAGGTTCTCACAGAACCATGGATAGGGGCTCAACGCTTGCTTTGTAGGCTGGTCATGTCTCAGTCACACACAAACACACATCAAACACACTCTACCCTCCACCCTATGTACCTGAGAGGTCACGGTTTCCTGTAACAAATGATATCGGGTGACCTCTGGAGCTGATCACACTCCCCTTCTGTCCTCTAACGGATAGGCTGTTCCTGGGACTCGGGTCCTTACCACTCAGTTGGGCAGTGCTCCTGGGCTGGTTCCTGCGCCTCTCCAGGTTCTGTTGTGTTCTCGGAGCCGCCATCCCGTTCCGCTGGAAGAGTCGTTCTCCCCTGCAGACAATAGGTCTGCTGGCGCTCCAGGTGAAGTCCGCTTCTCCCCATCCTGGGGGCCAGACCCCAAAGACAAGGGAGGCGAAAAACTGCCATCTCTGGCTCCCGGGCAAGCCCCCAGAAATGTTGCAGGATTCTTGAAGGGAGAGATGGGACACCAAGGCAATAAGCAGGAAGCAGCATTTATTGATGCCGGCACCAGCTAAGCAGATTCTTGTCCAAAGGCTGAGCCCTGATTGTAACATAACGGGCAGTTTTATACAGTCTTGTCATTCCTATACAGCTGCAGATATAAAGAAGAACATTGATTGGTTGGCAAGCGATGAGAAAACTGATTTTAGCTGGAGAGTCTTTGGAAGGGGGGAAATGAACTTGTTCTAGCAGGAAATGGACAGGCAGAGTCGGGCTGCCACGGTTTCTCAGTTGTAGTGCAGTTGATTCCTTCTATCCAGTTTGCCTTTCTTCAGCCCTTTTCTGTCTTTCCGTCCAATATATAACCTGCAGTATATTTTTCTTGATTTCTGTTCTATCTCTTCTAACTTTAACAATCATTATGATTCTACCTACTTAAGACTTTGACTTGCCAAAGTAACTATTAAACCACTCGTATCTAATTCAACATCTTCCACCAAAAAAGCCTAATTTGTCTTTTAAAATTTACTCTAATTATTATGCTTTATTTGCCCAGTGGTCTAGTTGAATGATTCTTCGTAGAAAGGGAATAGCAGGCTCTTGAACAGTTGTTTGACAAATTGCTGGTGCTCATTGAAATAATTGGCTTTTCGTGTTTCCATGCTTTTTGTTAAATTCTTTCCACTTTTCCCTTTCCATCTGTCAAAATTCCATTCCTCTTTTAACATTCAGCCCCAAAGCACCTTTAGGAAGCTTGCCTCCTTTACTGAAGTCTCATCACTTAAGACCTCTTTGTTGATAATTTATAATCTGATTTATATTTTAAATTATTTGCATAATGATTTTATCTTAAAAGTGTGCATGTTCTTTGTGCATTTCTGACTTAACTATAGCTGCTTAATGATATTACATTGCATCTGTAATTTCTTTCCTTGGAGGAAATGTGTGGACTTGTGGTTTTGAAGCAGAGACCTTTGGAAAGATTATAGATTGTCTGGAACCTGGCATTAAACCACCTCTTTCTTAGATCCCGAGTGCCCTCTAGCACATTGGTGTGCTAGAAGGCTCTATCTCTTGCCCATTGATCACAGCCTTTATGAAATCTGACACCAAGGCTACATCTCCATAACTGTTTGCATTGTTTTTAGGAGACCCAAACATGGCAACCATGGAAGAAAGCTTCCCCCGTGGGGGTACAAGAAAGACCCACAAATCAGAGAAAGCTTTCAAGCAGACAGTTGAACAAGACAACTTATTTGATGTAAGTGGTGTGCTTGTTTGCTGAGAGTCACCAAACACTTTCTTTCTCGTGTCCTTGTGAAGAATGAACCCTGTTTAAGAATGTGTTTTCCAGATTTGTTCCTTTTTGAAGTCTACTTTTGTAAAATGAACTTGTTACAGAGTCCATACCCCCCACAAAGCATTATATTTTGAAGAGTGTCATTTAACATTTGAGTTTGCAGTGCTTTCTTTCCTTATTCTTAGGAACTTTGTGTCATGTTGATTAAGGATGAAGAGAAAGCATTTTGATCATTGCATATTTGAATGGGGACCTTGCTGCCATGTATAATGGTCAGAATTTGCATTAGAATTCATTATATTTACTTAGAGTAGGCTGTGCTCTAATGCTAGAAGGAAGGGAACTAACATTTGATTGTATGGTTTTATCTCTTTTATGTAATCTTCCCAACTCCACTGTGAAATAGAGATCACAATTCCATGATGAAGAATTGAGGCTAAGAGAGGTTATATAATTTAGCTGAAAACACACAGCTGGTTATGGTGGAACTGCGTGTTTAACTCGGATCTCTGTAACTCCACCTAACATTCACGTACTGTTCAAAATTGCTTTTCATACTGGGGAACCCCTGTGTCCATCCTTAGTCAAAGGAGAAAGAAAACAGGGGAAAGGGGGCTTTTAAGAACATGAGGGGCAGATTTTGGACAAAGGGAGCATTGGGCAAAAAGAGCAGAGTGGGGGAGTTGGAAGTGGGGTGGGGTGGAAGAACGACAAAGCAAAGTGACAGATGGCTGCAAATTGGAGGGAAAGGCCCGATTGCTGCTTTTCATTCTTTTGGATTTTTTTCCCCATTAGATTTCTACTGAAGAGGAGTCCACCAAAAGGAAAAAAAGCCAGAAAGGGCCAGTAAAAACAAAAAAGTTGAAAATTGAAAAGAGAGAAAGCAACAAATCTGCAAGAGAGAAGTTTGAAATCCTTAGTATTGAGGTTCGTTAAAGTTTGGTTTTGATTTAAACAAACTACCTGGGTTGTTTAAATTTGTATATGTTCTTCCTTCCCTCTTCCTTCTTTCTTTCCTTCTTTTCTTTCTCATTCCATTTATTCTCATTCGTGTGTGTGTGTGGGAGGGAGAATGCACGTGTGCGTGCAAGCACTTGAGAGAGTGCCAGTGCTTTAGTTTATAGATTCTTGTAGTTTGTGCTCAGAATTACACATTATTTTCTTCTATTAACCAATGCCTGGGGTTGTGCGTTGTGTTTGTTGCTGTTGTTGATTTAGCTGCTGAGTCCCTCATTCTGCTGGTGTCCTCGTGAAACTTGTGTTTTAGTAGATTCATATGTTAGAACTGACAATAACTTTAGCAATGATTCCGATTCTCCCTTTTGTTTCATAGGTGTGGAAACTATCTCAGAGAAATGAAATGGTCTTATTATGTTTCTTATATTATTAGATAACTCCAGTATGAGTTGTAAAAAAGAAAACCAAAATCAAATGACTCTGAAGGGAAAGATTCAGATTCAGCCTGCAGAATTGTTTTATTTGTTCTGTGTGACAATTAATTGTTAAACTTGTTGCCAACATTAAGAAACTAAAAAACTTTACATAAAAAGGTGATTTCTGGGTTCTTGTAAATGAAAAGTGCTGACAACACAAGCTCGTGTCCTCTCGGGTTTGTAGTCACATGGAGCTGGTGATGGTTGCAACTGTCAGGCTCAGCCTGCACACTCCAGACTGCTGTTAGCTCGACTGGCCTGCTTCATGTTGTTACCTGTTGGGCATTTGAGGTTGGGTTGCATTGAATAAAGTAAAAGGTGAAAGTGCCCTCCAGCACCCCAGTGCTGTTAACTCTGTTGTATCATTTAAACCTTTTATGGTGCTCAGTCAGGTGTTCGATAAATGCATTGATATATACACATATACTTCTTGTAGCTTTTGTCACAGTTGAGACTAGAAGCCAGACCTTCTAACTTCCCCATTCATTGTTCTCTTCCCTATTGTACCTATTTTACTTTTTCTCTTCTAGTCCCTGTGCGAGGGGATGCGGATTTTGGGTTGTGTGAAAGAGGTAAATGAACTGGAACTGGTGATTAGTCTTCCCAATGGCCTCCAGGGGTTTGTGCAAGTGACTGAAATCTGTGATGCTTACACCAAAAAGCTGAATGAGCAGGTGGCACAAGAAGAACCTCTGAAGGTAAAGAAAACTTGGATGAAATCTGTAACTGGAAATAAGTGGTACACAAATAAATGCAAAATGACAACTTTGTTAAGTGCTAAGAAGGAAAGGTACAAGGTGCCATGAGAGTTTATAATAGAGGATTTTATCTGTTTATTTTTTAATAAGTGGATTTTGACTTATCCCAGGGAACCTCTAAAACTTCGCCTGGGAGAAGGGATGCTTGGGCTGAGAGCTGAAGGATGAGGGTGCACTAGATACAGAAGGAATGGAGTTTAGGCAGAAGGAACATGGTATGCAGCAGAGAGAAGGCTAGTGTGGCTAGAGCAGAGACAGCAAGGGAGAGTGGTATGGAATGGCGCTGGAGAGCTGGCTGGGGGCCAGACCATGTTAAGGATTGGTTTTTAGTTCTAGAATCAATGGCAAGTCCTTGAAATGTTCTCATTGGAATGGGCAACATGTAGGTGGAATAGAGAATAAATTGAAGAGGCATGAGTAGTTGCCTAGAAACCAATTAGGAGGCTGTTGTTATAGTCCAGGCTCTGAGATTGATGGCAGCTTGGGTTCAGGATTTATTGAGGACCAAGGAGGTAAAGTCGATGCTTAGTGATGGATTCATTATGGGTGGTGATGCAGGAGAAGTGTCAGGGACGAGTCTAGGTTTCTGTTGTGCCTGACTTGGCAATTGGCCATGCCAATCTGAGATGAGAAATCCTGAAGGGTGACCTGGGTTTCGAGAGATGATTACGATTTGATTTTTGCTGTGTTGAGTTTGAGTTACAGAAACAAAAATGTGTAAGACTTCTTTGCATAGGTGGTGAGTAATGCTAAGAAGGGGGAAGAAGTTGCTTAGAGGGAGCAAATACAGTGAAAAGAGAGTAAAGACTGAGCTGGGAGTAAATATTGTATTTTAATTGCTGAATAAAAGGAGAGTTGCTGTCAGAAGAAGAAGGTGGGCCAGGCAGAGAAAACCAGTAAATTAAATGGTCTCGGAAGTCGAGGAGGAAATGTTTAATGAAGGAAGGAGCAATCTCCAGTGTTAAATTCTTTTTAAAAGTCACAGAAGGACTGTAAAATGGACTGTTGGGTTTAGCGACATAGAAGTCACTGACAATTTTATTGGGAGGTGAAGTGGTGAAGTGAGGAGATACAGTGGTGGAATGAGAGGGGTGGGATGCAGATGGCAGTGAGCCGAAGAGCAATCAGGAGATGAAGAAGTGGAGACAGTAAATACAGACAACATTTTTTTTAAAGTATAGGTGGTATACAATATTATATTAGTTTCAAGTGTTCAGTATGATTCACCATTTTTATGCCTTATGTGATCACCCCATTAATTATAGTAATCATCTGTTACTGTGTAAACTTATCACAATAATATTGACTATTCCCCTTCACCTTTTTCCTCCTCCCACCCTCTCCCCTCTGGCAACCATCCTTTTGGTCTCTGTAGATAACTTTTGACAAGTCATTTTATATCTGCCCATTGCGCGGAGATATTTGGAGCCTCTATGCTGAAATTCATGACAGTGTCTTGGTCACAGATCCATTTTCATTTGTGGGCAAGTGGTTATTCTCTTTGTCACCTTCTGGGGTCTGAGGATGAGAAGTCTTTGAAACAGGGCCCAACAGTGGATTCTAGGTTCAGGGGAAGAGTATGCATCAGGGCTGTTTCACTTGTGTCCTGCAGGACCTGGTCCACTTGCCTGAACTCTTCTCTCCCGGGATGCTGGTGAGATGTGTTGTGAGCAGTCTGGGCATCACAGAAAGAGGCAAAAAGAGTGTCAAGCTATCTCTGAATCCCAAAAATGTAAACAAAGTGCTGAGTGCAGAGGCCCTGAAACCTGGCATGGTGCGTATCGGGAATCAGGGAAGAGGAGCAGGCAGCACGCCTTCTTCCTGCTCTGCCTTGTCTCTTGGGGAGTGTCTAACCACTTCTTAGTTTCAGCTTACCTGTTACACATGGAGTGTGTGGCGGGGCATCTTTTCCTGAGGAGTGAAGGTCTCTAGGGTGCTTTGGATACTTAATGGAAATCGAAGACTTGAACCTAATCACCTTACCTTGGAGGGGAGAAAGGGAAAGCAAGTCTAAGATTTGCTGGTAGCCAAAAAAATAAAAAAATAAAAATAAAAGCCTCCGCAGAGCCTTAGCAGGGATGTGCTGATAGCAAGAAAGAGTTCTTGACATGCCTTACTTACCCAGACGACTTCTTCACGGGTTAAATTTTTTTCAAATTTTTCATTTTTTTGGTTCCATTATTCAACTGTATAACTCCTTACTGTCTGGAAACCATAAAATCCTTCCAGCCCTGGGAGAATTAAAGTTGATATCTTTCCCTCTTCTATTCTCTAGTGGTATTGAGGTTCAAAGTTTAAAGTGGAGGCGGCGTGGGGTGGGATTATGGGATAACGTGTTGAGATTGGTGGTGGGAATATAAACATTTTATAGTGGCTGTTTGTTGTGTTTCATTACCTTTGACTTTTGATTGACTTTTGAACTTTTTGGAATGCTTTCTCTTCCTCTAGCTACTCACAGGCACTGTGTCCAGTTTGGAAGACCATGGCTACCTAGTGGACATTGGTGTTGGTGGGGCCAGAGCTTTTCTGCCACTGCAGAAAGCCCAGGAGTATAACAGACAGAAGAACAAAGGTGAGGGAAAGAAGACGGGCCAGTGCATGGTAGTGAGGTGGTACGTGTGGGGATTTTATTTAAATGCCACTTTGGCAAATGACAGAGTGGTGACTCTGCAGGCTCTTTGGCATTTCTAAAATCAGTGGTTAATCATAGCTCATAGAAAAGAGAATATGTGTGAAGGGCCAGGGAGAAGTAGAGTCTCGCCGAGATCTGATGGGCAATTTTGATGTTTCTTACCTAGAAGATTCCACTGAAATTTGGGCCTCCAGGGCCTCTGAACCAGCACTCTCCTGCCTTGTTGATTCTAGGTAGTTGATTCCAGGTCAGTTAGGGTAACTTCACTCCTTTCTTGTAGTTGGTCCCTTCAAGGTTGGGAATATGGAGAGTATTATGTGGCAATTGGATAAGTAGGGATGGTTCGTCTCAGGTATTGCTTGAACCCACGTTACAGGTCCTTCTCATACAGGTGTTTTTCCTTTGGGGGTCTGGGGCTTGGCTCACAGGTGCTAAACTGAAGGTGGGTCAGTACCTGAACTGCATCATTGAAGAAGTGAAAGGCAGCGGAGGAGTTGTTACTCTGTCCATTGATCATTCAGAGGTTTCTACTGCCATTGCCACTGAGGAGCAAAACTGGACCCTTAATAACTTGCTACCAGGACTGGTGGTTAAAGCCCAGATACAGAAGGTAAGCTGTTCTTTGTTACTACTACTTTCTAAGATAAAAATAATTTTTACTGAAGTAGTTCATGCACATAATCTGATATTTTGCTGTTCAGTAGAGATGCCACTGTCCCATGTGGCTATTACACACTTGAAATGTAGCCAGTGCCACATGCTGAAATGATGATATTTTGGATATATGAAGTTAAATAAACGATAATTAAAACAAATTTCACTAATTTCTTTGTAGTTTTTAAAATCTGACTGTTAGAAAACTTAAAATTATATATGTGGCTTACGTTATACTCCTGTTGGACAGTGCTAATCAAAATGACATGAAAAGACTTACAGTGAAAAACTGTCCCTCCTAACCCCCATCTTTAACTCTTTCAGCTTATCTTTTGAAATTTACTTCCATATTTCTAAGTAATAAGCTCCTGGTTTCTCTTGGTGTGTCAGTTTTAGGCACTGAGTTTTAACTCCTTATCAGTGTACATAAAGATTTGCCTTTCTTAATTTCCCCTTCCTTTCCCCCAACCTCCCAACAGAGATATACTAAAATTTTAGTGAAATTCAGTATTTAAATTATTATGACTACATAAATGTTTACTGCTGAGCTAGGCAATATACTATGACTGTTTATTGAACAGCTTTTTTCTCCTGGAGTTGATAATCAGCTTTGTTTTTGTCATTTGTATCATTTTTTTCTTATGTTATCTTTATACACTCTGTAGTTATTTTTCTCTCATTACAGTTGTCCATCTAGATAGCCTCTTAGTTTCTTTATTTTCCCCACCTGGACCCCCTTTTACTGCCATCCGACTTTAGTCTAGACTGGTTGCTCTGTAGGCTCCCACATAGGTGATATCCTAGGACTTCTCTGTCGTCCTGGATTCTGCCTTTCTCTCTCCTGTGTTGGAGCTGCCTTTGATTCCATGTATTCCTCTTTTTTGATTTACTCCCTCATTTTAGTGTTGGCACATTCTCTAGAAGCATCCTTGAAAAGGTACATGGGAGGTTAATTTCTTGACCTAGTATGTCAGGGATCCCCAAGGCTACTCCTAGGTTCGATGGTTTACTAGGAAGATTCACAGGACTCAGCATATACTGGTACTAACGGCTATATGAAATGAGACAAAGCAAAACCAGCAAAGGGAAAAAAGGCCCATGGAATGATGTCTGGAAGAACCAGGCACAAGCTTCCAAGTGTCCTCTCCCAGTGGAGTCACAAAGGGTGCCCTTAATTCCTTTGGCAGTAAGTTATGACAACACATGTGAAGTGTTGTCTACCAGAGAAGCTCATTAGAGACTTAGTGCCCCAGGGTTTTTAATTGGGGCTGATCAGATAGGCACCCTCTGTCTGGCATATACCAAAATTCCAGGCTCTCATAAGGAATGCAAGTGTTTAGCATAAATCACATTGTCAAACAGTTTAGGTACAATGAGTCACTCAGTTCTGGGAGTGGTGGGAACCTTACTGAAATCCAAGTTCCAAGACACCAGCCAAGGGCCGACATTGCAGGAAGGCTTTTCTAAGGATAGTAGTCTTGGACCTGCTGTGTTAACCCTTTTCTGCACACCTACTATATCTGAAAACATTCTACTCTCAGATATGATTGGTAGTTAAGCTGAATTTAGAATTCTTGGTCGAAAATAACAGAATTTTCAAGTCATTATTCCATTGTCGTCTGGCCTCTTGCTATTGAAATCTGATGTTTTGCTTTCCCTTGTATTCGTTTTTTAATCTTGTTTTTATTTCTAATACTTTAAAATTTCATGATGATGTGCTTTGGTTTGGCTGTCTCTCTCCATTTGTGCTCGACTCCTGTAATCCAGAAATGTAGATCCTTCACTTCTGGGAAAGTTTCTGGTATTATTATTTTTTTCAATCGATATATAATTCATATATAGTAAGAATCACCTTTTTAAATTTTGTTTTGTTTTGTTTTGTTTTTGGTGTATTCACAAAGCTATGCAGCCATCACCACTATTTAATTCCAAACATTTTCATCACCTCAGTAAGACACTCTGTACCCATTAGTGGTCACTTTCTATTGCTCCTTCCCTCAAGCCCCTGCTGACCACTAATCTAATTTTTGTCTCTGGACATTTCATATAAATGGAATCATACAATATGTCGCCTTTTGTGTCTAGTTTCCTTCACTTAGTGTAATGTTTTCAAGGTTCATCCATGTTGTTGTGTCAGTGGTTAATTGTTTTTATGGCTGAATTATATTCCATCATATGGAAATAGCTCATTTTGTTTGTCCAGTCATCATTTGGTAGACATTTGGGTTGTATCCACTTTGGGCTCTTTTGAATAATGCTGCTGTGAAATTCACATACAAGTTTTTGGTGGGCATATCTTTTCATTTCTCTTGGGTATATACCTAGGAATGGAATTGTAACTTTCTGTTTAACTTTTTGAGGAGCTGCTAAAGTGGCTGCAGTTTTAAGTTCTTGCCAGCCATGTAAGCGTTCCAGTTTGTCCACATTTTCATACCTTTATTCTCCTCCTTTCTATGGTAGCCATCCTAGTGGGTGTGAAGTGGTATCTCGTGATTTTGATTTGCATTTTTCTGATTATTAGTGAAATTGAGCATTTTTTCATGTGCTTATTGGCCACTTGTGTATCTTTTGTGCATTTTTAACTTAGGTTGTCTTTTTATTGAGTCGTAAGCATTCTTTACACATTCTGGGTAGTAGCCCCTTGTCAGATCTTGTTCTCGTTTGTTTTAAAATAAAATTTCCTCTTCTTTTTCTGAAACTCTTGTTAATACGATGTTGGACTTCATGGATCAGTTCTCTAATTTTCTTATCTTTTCTTCTGTTCTTTGTTTTGGTATGTGCATGTATTTGTCTTACCTTTTGGGAGAATCTCTCAACTTTAACTTCCCATTCCCTATTGAATTTTTGTTTTGACTGCCATACTACATGTGAGGCACTAAAAAACTGTTAGGAAGTGTGTGTGCCTGGGTAGGACTTGTTAACTGGCTAACTTCGCTGTCAGGATCAGGAGCTAGCAGACTCTCTTTGGGCAGCCTCCAAATGTCATTGTTACAAGTCTTTTCTGGCATGTTAGATTTCTCTAGAAAGGGTCTACTAGCTTCTACCCAGGAAAGTATGAGCCTGGATGCCTGAGGGCTAGTAGGGAGAAAAGAGCTGGATGTCTTCATATCTATATCCATACGATATTCATAATTTTTCTTAATCTACATTTCAACATTTGCATTCTTCCTGTGTTTTGAGTCTGGTACAGTTTTCTCAGAGAATGTTCTTCAATTTTCTGTGAAGATTCCTGATTTCAGTTACCTACCTCATGACTTTCTTTTGAGGTGCTTCTCACCTTAATTCCTTAGCTTTCGGGGGATTCCGTAGGATGAATCGGCTTGCTCATGGTCAGTGTCTCCCTTATGCAAGCATTTGAGTTTTGCCTTCTAAGTCTGGGCAAATCACCAAGTTAGCAACACTTTATCTGCGTTGTCAGGCTGGCAGTTCCCCGAAGATCGTTGTGCAAAGTGCCCTCCATCCCACTGGGAAATCCCGAGGGTGCAAGGATTGATGTTCTCTCATTCCGAAAGGGAGGTGAGCTTACTGGATAAAGAAACAGCCTGTACCAGGAGTTGTCTTGCCACCTAGTTTTATGGGAAGAAAGATTGATAAAGGTTAGCTGGGGGAGGAGAGAGACATGGTTATCCTGGAAAATGTGGCATTGAGTGTTTAGTATGAATAGTAGCTCTTACATTCTTGGTTCTTTCAGAGATATTTTTCAAAACTTGTTCTGTTTATTTCTAGGTGACTCCACTTGGCCTTACACTAAACTTCCTCTCATTCTTCACTGGCCTGGTTGACTTTATGCACTTGGATCCCAAGAAAGCTGGAACATATTGCTCAAATCAAGCAGTAAGTAACGTTGTACCTATCTTTTCTCGATTCCATTTTGTCTCACTCAGCTGTCCAGTGTCACAGTTAGCTTACAGGGCAGGCCCTAGGACTGTGTATATGCAGGTGTACAGAGAGGAGGTGAGGGGAATAAAAAGTGTCTTGGAAGGACCATAAGAAACCACCAGTGGTTATCTCTGAGGACTGAGATTAGAGAAGGAGACCAAGGAGGAGATTGCAACTTTTGGTTTTTATTTCATATTCTTCTATCTGGTTTGATTTTTTTTTTGGTAGTGAATCTTTTGCTTTTGTAATTTAAAGTGCTTTAGAGAAGTATTTAACATATTGAAATAGGTGTGGTTTAAAAAGTGCTATGAGTATTATAGATCTAATTTGAAAAAATTTTAGAGTACACCTGGTTAAAATACGGAATAATTATGCAGTTAGGTGTTAATAGTGATTAAGTGTGAGTGATTTTCCTACCCTTATCTAAAGATTCAGATTTCCTATAATGAACATGGGTGTTTGAGAAGAAAATCCAAATATATATTGTTCACAATTATTTTTTTAATCCTAAAACGATTTTGTTTTTAACAGTAATGAAGGCTAATGGATGCCGTAGAGACTTTTTTTTTTTTTTTAAGTAAAAATAGGTTTTTTCACCACCTAGTGATAATATCATTAACATTTTGGTGCACTTCTTTCTAGTAATTTTTTTCTCCCTGTAGTCATATTTGCATACAGAGTTTAGACATTTTACATGCTATAACCTTGTGATCGGAGCAGGCTGTTTCTGGCGTATTTTAGATGAGCCTCTGATGTACTGATGCCAGCGCATGGTTTCTGTTGCATGTGCACTATTAGCCTCATGGTGTTGAGGGAACTGTGGTATGTTTTTTATGGCCTGGAGTAAACCTTGATGTAGTTGGGCATAGTGCATCTGGGACGTTTTGTTTGAGTTTTCCTTATGCTGCATGACTGCACAAGTGAGTTTTAGTATTTGTATCCATAACCTGGTCAGCACATGACGAAGTCTGCTCCAGGACGCCTTATCTCCTGTGTGCCTCTTCTCGCTCATTATGTCCTTTCCCTTATCTAGGTAAGGGCCTGCGTCCTCTGTGTCCATCCTCGGACCAGAGTCGTGCGGCTGAGCCTGCGCCCAGTCTTCCTGCATCCTGGGCGCTCACTCACCCGGCTCACTTGTCAGCACCTGGGAGCTGTCCTAGATGACGTTCCTGTCCAGAGCTTTTTCAACAAGGCGGGGGCCACTTTCAGGCTGAAGGATGGGTCTCTGGCGTATGCCCGGGTAAGGCGTCTCTTTGTTTCCTCAGGATCTTATCACTAGAAGGACTGTTGGGACACATGGGTCTTTTTCTCCTTCCTTTACCCTTGGTATTATAGTTTCCATTTTTTGAATATCCCAGGTATGGTAGAATGTTCATAGGGACTAAACAATGCTTGTTTGTTATATTACGATGCCTTAAAATCAGTTTGACATATTTGATCCCTAGCAGATGGTAGGTATAGGAATGAATAGGATCTACACCAAGGCTTGGGAAAGTTTTTCTTAAAGATCCAGATAGTACAACTCTGTTCTTTTTATTTCTTACTAGGTAATAAAATTTATTTAATACAAGTTTTATTTTGTGCAGATTCTTGCACAGCATCAAAACAAGTTCCAGGATGGGACTCACTACTATAATCTTGTCTTTGTTTTTCTGCAAATTAACAAGATTCATGTTTGTTATATTTAAAAGTATTAAAAATTTATACAGATTTCGATCTCTTTTCATTCTAGATGTTTGTTTTAATATTTTATAATAAAATCTTAAATTCACCTTTGTTCTCCTAGCCTGAAGGCAGGCATAGACAGTATATAAATGAATGAGCATGGCTGTGTTCTAATAATCTTTAGTTTACAAAAATAGTTATCAGCTTGTGAGCTGTGGCTTACTGACCTATGATCTAGACTGATTTCTGACATAGAAGTTCTTTGATGGTAAAGAGCAGTTTTTTAGTTAGAGGAATAATTTTAATAGGTAATCAGAGTACTGTTTTTATGGTAGGTGACGAATGTGTTGTCATCCTGGTGTGCTTTAATATCTGATTGCCTTAGATCTATTGTCTCTGGCTTGTTCTTAATCACTTGGTACTTTGTAGCTCAGCCATCTCTCTGATTCTAAGACCGTCTTCAGTCCTGAGGCCTTCAAGCCAGGGAACACTCACAAGTGTAGAATCATCGACTTCAGTCAAATGGATGAACTGGCTGTGCTCTCTCTGCGGACGTAAGTCTGTCATCAACACTTGGGGGTGTAGAGGTGTGCTTTCATCAGATGTGCATTCACAGTTTCTCCTGGCCTTGCTTGGTGAAGGTTTTCTTTCTTGCCAATGTGACTTCGATAGTCCTGAATTTTAGGCAGTCTCTGCCTTAGTTTGTCTAATCTCGTGTTTTCCTTTTGTTCTAGGTCTATTATTGAAGCTCAGTATTTTAGGTATCATGACATTAAACCTGGGGCATTGGTAAAGGTAAGACCTCCGACATATAATTAGATAACTCCCCCAGTTTCAGATAACCTTTAGTTCACAGGTTAACTGTCAGTTCCTTAGTCCTCCTGTGAACATGTTTAAAGTCATATTTCTTGCCTCTGCCTGCTGACTGGAATTTCTTTTTCTTCCCTTGGGTAACTTGTAATTAATTTCAAGGCAAGGTCTTACTAGTATCACCCAACTACAGAGGATGTAGGTTATAAACCTTGGAATTTGATGGTGTTTAATAGACCAGGTCAAAAGTTAGTTCTGTGATTATTGAACTACCTCGGATATTAGTAAGAAGCCAGTTCCACTTGCCTCTCCTATCGAACCATTAGCCCCAATTGAGCAGCTGCCCTTTATATGAAGAGTTTATTTTTTAGGACGCAGGGTCCCCGGTTTTACAGAATGTACTTGTAAGGCAGACAGAAAGAACACATGCATACAAAAAGGTGTGAAGGTTCCCATAAATAAACCTGACCTCATCCAGAACAGTGTGGGATGTGTGCTTTACCTTATGAGATCTGGAATAACAGGAACAGTTATCCCAGGAAACTGGGCTTTGAAAGAGAGATGTGACACGCCTTGTTGTAAGAGGTGCAGGAAAGACCATTCTTGAGGCGTCATGGCATCTTTTCTTGGGACTCCCTAGGGCACAGTGCTGACCATAAAACCATATGGGATGTTGGTGAATGTGGGTGAGCAAATCAGGGGCCTGGTACCTCCCATGCACCTGGCTGACATCCAGATGAAGAATCCAGAGAAGAAGTACCACATTGGGGATGAAGTTACATGCCGGGTGAGCCTCCTGAAGGGTCTCTGTTGGAATTTTGGCCAGATGGGAAGAGAGTAATGCTTTTCAGCTGAAGTTTCTCGCCCTTTTTCCATAAAATGATCGCATAATGTCTGCAGTGCTGTGCCAAGCAGTGGGAAGAGGAAACTGGGTCCTTGCTTTTGAGAATTGTATAGTATAATTGAGAGTTAAACCATCCATATGTGAACAGAGCAAGGCAATGTGTGACCTTGTGCCACATGGTTTGGTGCAGGCTATATGCTATGATCATATCTCAGACAGGAGGTAAGGGTGAGGTGGAGAAGCAAGAATCATCAGTGATGTGAATAGCAACTACCATGTAACATATATTCTGTGCCAGTGCTGTGCCAGGCACATGACATTCATTATTTCATTTAATTCTTCAAACAACCCTGTAAAGTAAGTAATTATCCTCATTTTGCAGGTGGGGAGATTAAAGCTTAGGAAGCCAAAGTTACACGGCCAATATATGGCAGAACCAGTTTTTAAATTCAGCTCTATGTGACAATAATGTCTTTTAGCTTTCTGGCACAGGTGGGACTTGAACTAGAAAGGATGGGTAGGATTTGGAAGGTTGAGGAGGAGCAAGGAATGTGTCAGGCACAGAAATAGCTCAAAGCTGCCAGAATTGAGTGGTTTATAACAAGGCTTGAATTCCAAAAAGGAACTTCACGTAATTATGAGATTAAATGTGGTAATACACAGTGCTTAGCATAGGGTATGGTGTGTGCAGATACTCAGAATGTTAGATTTTTTTAATTTTCATTTTATCTCATTATTAGTCAGCAAAGAGATTGATCACCCATTGGCATAGTTGTGGGGTCAAGAGATTAGAAGTAGAGGAATTTCTCTGCCCTCAAGGAGATCACCTGAGGAAGGAGAGATTGTTGGATCTCTCAGTCTTGGTTTATAGATAATATATAGAAGTATTGGTTCATTCATCCTATTAGACGAGATGCCAGTGGTCTGAGAAGGAACTGAGGCAGTGTAGAAGCAACTGATACAGGACTTTGGAGGTGCAGTGAGGCGATGAGTTTTGCTGCAGGCCCAGGAGGGAGCTCATGGGAGGAAGAACATTTGAAATGGAGATGAATACCTCCTAGATTGCTATCCAGCAGGAAGCATGGAGGATCTGTGTCTGAGATTATTCTCAGAGAGAAAGAGGTAGTAAGTTCTTAGGGACTGACCATGGCATTTGGGTTCAAGGGGTCACAGAGACTAGCTCAGTGTCTCTCTTGATAACAGGTAACTTCATGACAGGTTTGGTGACAATATCCTTCCCCTAGGTTTTGCTTTGTGACCCTGAAGCCAAGAAGTTGATGATTACCCTGAAGAAAACCCTGGTTGAGTCCAAACTACCTGCCATTACCTGCTATGCCGATGCCAAACCTGGTTTGCAGACACATGGCTTCATCCTCCGGGTCAAGGACTATGGCTGCATTGTAAAATTCTACAATGATGTGCAGGGACTGGTGCCCAAGCATGAACTCAGTGCCGAGTATGTCCCTGACCCAGAGAGGGTCTTTTACGCTGGCCAGGTAACCCTTTTCCCAGATAGGTCCCTACCCTTAGGGACTCTCTGAACACAGATTTGAAGGACTAGTATGGAGGGCTACTTTTTAAGGGGGTGAGGAAGAGAGCCTATGGGACAGTGGGCCTGAGCCAGCCAAGTGGAGGAGATGGGAACAGAACAGAGAGAAACCCCCAAGGGGATTCAGCGGAAGCTGGCAAACTAATGGACCTCGAGCCCACAGCCTTGAAGAAATTAGTCTTTACCTGGGATAACACTGGGGTCCCTCACATCAGTTGTTCCGAGACCACCGTCACCACCAGGGGGCAGTGCCATAAAACTAGTGAATCTGGGTCTGTTTAGGAAAAATAATTTCTTAAAACTTGGGGTCATACTGTGTTTTTCTTGCACCCAAAGGCTTATACGGAGGGATTCGGTGTAGCTTTTTGTGCATTTTTTTCCCACCGCGTTCTGATCTGATCCAGTTTCTGGGTGGGTCCCAAGGCCTCTGTAGCACTTGTGGAGAGCACCTCTCTCCAGGGCCTGACAGGCCTGCTGGGAAGTTAGCTAAGCAGGTGTGGTTTCTCACCAGGTGGTGAAGGTTGCCGTGCTGAACTGTGAGCCAGCCAGAGAGAGGATGCTCTTGTCCTTCAAGTTGTTGGGTGAGCCAGAGAAAGAGCGTGCGGGACACAGTCAGAAGAAAAGAAAAGCCGTTAACATTGGGCAGGTACCTGGACTTCTCCAGACAAATTATTCTGGTTTACAGTGGCCAAGAGCAGAGTACCACTGACACATGGGGTACGGGGACCCATGAAGGGCAGAGATCAAGGCAGCTAGCTAAGATTCTGGAACCAAAGAGAGTGGAGAACCTCGTATATATTCTCTCATGTGTGTCAGAGCAAATGTAAGCTGTCCCTAAAAGGGAAGTTGTGTCATCGTGTGACTTTTCAGCAGTGAGTTGCTGCCCTCTTTCCTCTCTGGTCCCTAAGGCCGTTCTGCAAGACTATCTTTCCTCTGGGACCCAGTAGAGGGACTTGGGAGAAGAGTGACCTGGTCGCAGAAATGGGTCCTCGTGTGTGTGTACACGTGCACATGTGCTCGTGTGTGTGCCTGGTAGGTCTTTGGGGTGTTGTGTGTTGTGGAAGAAAGCTGCCTCTCTGATCTTGACCTCTCCATGATCCCTGGTGCTGGAATTTAACGCCTCTGATCTCTGTCTGATGCAGATGAAGTTGCTCCCTGCCCAAGACAAGTGCTATTTTTTGTCTTTCTCTTCCCCGGATAGTTGGTCGATGTGAAGGTTTTAGAGAAGACCAGAGATGGGCTGGAGGTGGCTGTCCTGCCCCACAACATCCCTGCTTTCCTCCCCACGTCTCATCTGTCGGACCACGTTGCCAATGGCCCACTGTTGTATCACTGGCTCCAGGCTGGTGACACCCTCCATAGAGTCCTGTGTCTGAGCCAGAGTGAGGGACGCATTGTATCCTTTACTGGTATCTGGGGAGCCAGATAAGACAGGGAAGCCATGGCAGCTCTCAGGAGAAAACTAGATTGGGCTGTGCTCTTAGTGGGAAACTCCATAGAAAAAAATCAGCCATTTGCAGAAATACTTCCATAAAACCTAACCAGTGAGCAAGCCTGCATTTTCGCTCTAATTTTCCTCTAAGAGTGGGATTGAAGTCCTGCCAGCAGATGCTGGTAGTCAGGTTAGGGTGGGAGTCCAGGGTGTTGGGGAGGGGGTGGTGTGGCCTGCCAGGTCTAGCTGGATATTCCCAGTAGCACATCTGGCCTTCTCAAGGCACTCAGTGATTGCCTCTTGAGTTGAGGTAATTACTAAGGTGGTGGTTGTCCCCCTTTTCCTCCCCCCCCCTCAAGGGGTATGGGGCGCAGAATATTCCCTTCGGGCTTGGTGTGGATGTTTCAAAGGAGAGCATTGCCTTTTTTCTCACAGAATATAAAATCTCCTTAGAGTGAAGATAGGCAGAGGAGGCGAGGTGGGGCTGGTTAATGTGAAGATTGTGGAGGATTGCATCATGTCCCGTACAGCTAGCTGCCCTGCCACACGCATGATCCATTCCCATTTTGGTTGCTTTCAGTAATCTGGAAATGAGTTAATAGGAAAGGAATAAAACGGCGATTCTCATTCTTCAGTGCACATCAGGATCACCTGGAGGGCCTGCTTAAACACAGCTCGCAGGCTCCCACTTCAGAGTTTCTAATTCATTGGTCTGGTACTTAAGAATTCACGTTTCTAACCAGTTCCAGGAGATGCTGCTGCTATTGGTCTGCACACTTAGAGAATTATGGTAGTAGCAAAGGTGTAGAGGGGAGAAGGAAGATGGGAGAGGTAGACATTTCATCTGCCCTTTCTGTCATATTCTTTGATGAAGTACCGCTAGATCCTTTGCAGGAAGCCTGCTTTGGTCTCCACAATGGAGGGTGGCCAGGATCCCAAGAGCTTCTCAGAAATCCAGCCTGGAATGCTGCTCATTGGTTTTGTGAAGAGCATCAAGGACTACGGTGTGTTCATCCAGTTCCCCTCAGGTCTTAGTGGACTGGCCCCCAAAGCTGTAAGTTCACTTCCATGTACAGGGGCACAGAGTCATGGGACCTGAGGATTGGTGGGAAGGAGCAAGATACTTTAAATCCCTTGAGAGGTTTTTAGAGGCACAGCATAAAGACACCTGGCTGAGGGGGAGTGGAGCTGAGATTGAGCCCATGCGCCTTTGGCCCAGCTGTGTGTCCTGGCTTGAGTCACCACTTCTTTACACTGTAGTGTTGGGTAGACGGGAAGTGGTCCTGAGACTTTAGTGTCTAGTGTGAGGGAGGATACCGAACTTATTTTTGTACTTTCAGCATGTTAAATATGGTAAATTGATTTTTCTCAGCAGCTGAGTATAGGTTTTACAGCCTCCTGGGGTCTTTGAAGTGTTATGGTACCCGAATACCCTTAAAATTACGACCCTACCCCCTCATATTGAATTGTAAACTGAATTTTCAGACTGGAGAAAATCCTAGTGATCTCATAGTTGATCCCCTCATGCCTGCTGAGTAAACTGAGTCCAGAGCTAAGAGGAGTCTTAGTAAAGTCCGTGTAAGACAGCGGTGAGCACATGGCTTGTAGCTCATTCCTGCCACAGATAATCCACAAATATTTCTTCCTTTCCATAGATTTGTCTCCTTGATGTTTTGCCTGGGCAAATCTCATTTGCATACCATGCCAGAACAGTTTTCAAAATGAGAGCAGAAGAGGGGAGCGCCCAGAAATATGCATAGTGAGGGGCAGAGGGTTGCCGTGGGGTATTAGAGACACTTACAGCTCAGCGCCCCTCTGGCTTGCCAGCATTGTGTCTTCTGGGCTGGTTGCCCTCCAGGAGGCTGGGTTGGGCAGCCAGGGCCTCTGCTGTGTGTTTAAGGAAGGGTACTTGGGTGCTGTACTTGGCTGGGGGGAGCATCCTGGGTCCTGTTGCACCCCCCTCACACCCCTTTCTGGGCACTTTAAATGGGTTGTCTTAACACGGACTTCCTTTCCTTTCTTCATTTTCTGCCCTTCTTCCCTTTAGGTCATGAGTGACAAATTCGTGACCTCTACAAGTGACCACTTTGTTGAGGGGCAGACAGTGGTTGCGAAGGTGACCAACGTGGACGAGGAGAAGCAGCGGATGCTGCTGTCTTTGCGGCTGTCGGACTGCGCTCTGGGAGACCTGGCTACCACCAGCCTCCTTCTCCTGAGCCAGTGCCTGGAGGAGTGGCAGGGCGTGCGCAGTCTCATGAGCAACCGAGGTGGGGGCAGGAGGTCAGAGGATGAGGGCCAGGGTGGGGAGCGTGTGTTATAAGTTAGGCCTGCCTGTTCCAGTGGGCTTCCCGGTATTAAAACATTTGGGGAACCTTTAAAAATGAGAATATGATCCAGATAAAGTACACAAATCATTTGGGGTGCAGCCCAGTAAATGTTTATAAAATGAACACCCTGTTTAATTACCACCTGGATTCAGATAAAGATCATTACCAGCATCCCAGAGGTCCCCTGTGCTCCTGCCTGGTTCAGAGTCAAAATTTCCCTTAGTCCTGTGGCCTCAGATTTGCATTTGTTGTGAATCCATTCACCTCTTCACTTTTTGTTCCTTTCTTTAATAAATATGTAGTGGATGATAAAATGGAACAGGGACCTGCTAGAAGACTTCATTCGGGGTTATCATTCTGACCCTCTTAAGCTTTGAACCAGTGTGTAGGATTGTTAGAACCCTAGTGGGGTTTGGGAATAAGCAGCTCGAGAGGGAAGTTTCCAAACAGAAAGAACGAAAAGAGAAACCAACAAAAGCATGTGTTTCTGGTATTGGCTATTTTCGTGAATTTTATGGTCAGGTAGGATTAGCAAGAGAGGCATAGCTATCTCTGTGATGGGTGTGTTTGTGGATATCAGACATTTTTTACAAAAGTGATTTAATCTCAGTGGTTCCAATGCTCCACTGTTCTCTGCATGGCAGCACATTTCCAAAGAAAAAGAATGATAAGAATGTTGTTTCACCTTAATTCCTGTTTCCTTTGGGTCTCTGGCAGACTCTGTGTTGATCCAGACACTGGCCGAGATGACCCCAGGGATGGTCCTTGACTTAGAAGTGCAGGAAGTGTTGGAAGATGGCTCTGTGATATTTAGTGAGGGCCCAGTGCCTGGCCTGGTCCTGAGAGCCAGCAAATATCATCGAGCAGGTGAGTGCTTCAGTCTTGCCCATCATGGTTGGTAGGGGAAACCCTTTGTCTCTTGCTGCTTCTCCTGGATACAGTTTCCAAGTACACAGAATAGATGAACTGGTTCAGTAGAAATTTAGCATGCCTATCTTGTGTGAATGGAAATCAGGACAACTGACAACATTCTGAAGAAGGTTTAAGTATGAATCCTTTCTTATAACTGGGTAAATCAAAATTTTCGTATACCTGGTTGCATAAATTACGTTATACTCGAACTTGAATTATGGGAGCCAGACCCTTAATGGGTTTTCCCAGCCCATATAGACCCAGAACTTGTGTCTCTTTTCTTTTTGTGCCTAAGGGTTTGCAGAGCTCTTGGAGAGATGCTCTCTCCCTACCCCTGCTCCAGGAGGGTGATCATGTTGTGTTTGGTTCTGCACTGCAGGGCAAGAGGTGGAATCTGGGCAGAAGAAGAAGGCTGTGATCTTAAATGTTGACATGTTGAAGTTGGAAGTGCATGTTTCTCTTTGCCACAATTTGGTGAATAGAAAAGCTAAAAAGGTAAGCTTGCTGATGACTTCCATTTCCATGGTTTTAAAGGCGGTATACACCCCTTCAGCCCCACCCTTTGCTCAGGGATTCTAATGCAAATGCTTGCAGATAGGGTGACCATATGCCTGGATTTATACGTATCATTCCCAGTGTATGCCTCTCATCCTGGTATAGTTATTAGTAATACTGACTTTCACTCTGGTTTGATGATAAATTTTATGGTCACCCTGTCTTTAGGGCCAAGCAGGTAATGTAAATGAGCGAAGTGGGCCAGGCAGGTGAGGGAGTGGTGGCACTGGGGCTCTCACAGGTTGCAGAATGCATGCACTGCCCGCAAAGGGATGGAGACCATTCATTTCCATCTGGTTGTTGCTGGTAGGAACATCTGGGCCTAGTGTTGCTAAGTCTTTGATTTTTAAGAGAAGATAGAATTTGACGTATTTCTTTTTTTTTAATGTGGGAAATATTGGAAACTTTTTTTTTTAAAACATCACATAATCAAAATATAACATGTCCGTGGGTAGTTCTGACCTTCAGGCTACTCATCTGCACCCTCTCCTGAACACTTTTGTGTGAGAGAAGAATGGATTTGAGAGAAATCTCAAAATTAGTAATATTTTTCTCTGGATACCATATATTTGATTATTATCTAAGGTATTTATTAAGCACCTAATTGCATAGGGTATGGTACAGAGAATTCCATGGATATAATTCTTAATCTCCAGTTGCTTGTAATTTTAAGATTTTGAGATATGAAGAGAAATAGAAAGCCCTCACTAAGTGTTCTAGCAGGTCCTTATTCCATTTTATCATCCAAACTGCTGGTGCATATCAGGGCATGAGCACAGTTTTGAGAAAGATAGACTAAATGTCTTGCACATAGTAAGCTTTCAGTAATGATTCTATTCGTTCAATGGAAGAGTGAGTAAATTGGGTTGAGATTGTAGCGCTAAGAGAGTCAGAAGCCATAGTGTCTCAAAGCTAGGGAACCATTAGTAGTCACTTGGCTGTGCATCAGAATCACCTAAGTAACTTTTAAAACTGTAATTTCACTCATTCTAGGATAGGACCTAGGAATCTGAGTTCAAAATAAAGCAAAAGCTAACTCCCTGTGATTCTGATATGGTGTCTTAAGTTTAGTTGAGTTGCCCCCAGGGTATAATGCGGAAGGCTAGATTGTTAAAACCGAGACTAGCTTTGGGGCCCCTGGACTCCAGAGTGTTTCTCCCGTCCCACTGACTGTATATAGCCCAGTGTATGATGAACGAGTACTTGTCCTCCGTAAGAAGTGGGCATGGTGGGTTTCCTTTGTTTTCCAGCTGAAGAAAGGCAGTGAGCACCAGGCGATCGTGCAGCACTTGGAGGAGTCCTTTGCTATTGCCTCCTTGGTAGAGACTGGCCACCTGGCAGCTTTCTCCCTGACTTCTCACCTCAATGACACCTTCCGCTTTGACTCGGAGAAGTTGCAGGTGGGACAGGGCGTCTCCCTAACCCTCAAGACCACAGAACCGGGAGTGACTGGTCTTCTTTTGGCTGTTGAGGGGCCAGCTGCTAAGAGGACCATGAGACGGACTCAGAAGGACTCTGAGACAGTCGATGAGGATGATGAAGCGGATCCAGCAATGGTTGTAGGGACTCTAAAGAAGCACACTCTGTCTATTGGGGACATGGTCACAGGGACTGTCAAGTCCGTTAAGCCTACCCATGTGGTCGTGACCCTGAAAGATGGCATCATTGGCTGTATCCATGCCTCCCACATCCTAGATGATGTTCCAGTGGGCACGTGTCCTACTGCCAAGCTGAAAGTTGGGAAGACGGTCACTGCCCGAGTGATTGGTGGGCGAGACATGAAGACATTCAAGTATGGAGGCTTTGGGGGACGGGCAGCTTTGAGGGGAGATTGTTATAATAGTGAGAGAAGGAACAGGAACTGAGGCAAGTTTCAAAAAGTTGTACATGAATCAGACTTTTTTAGTTAACACAAATGTTCACCAAAGAAAGAATCTTTTTATGTCTTTTTTAAAATATACATATTATTGTGGTTAAGAGCATTAGTTTAGAGTCAGACTTGGGTTTGAGTTTCAGATTTGCCACTTAACGTTATGTGACCATGGATTAAATGGTTACTTAACTCTCTGAGTTTAATTTTCCTAATTTATAGAGTAACGTAGTGTCTACCTTCTAGGCTGTTGTGAAGATTGAGAGAACATTTAGTGTGTAACGCGCCTTGCAGGTTGCCTGACAGTTACTCAGTATGTGTCAGCACTTGTTATAAAACATCTCCCGCATACCTTAGTTATATAGATTTACTTAAATCTTGCTGTAATATGTTATTATAGTAAAAATCCTTGCCCCAATAAGAAAAGCAAAAAAAGAATTCAAAGTCTAGCCAATAATTTACATGTTAATTTCAGTAACTTGTGGTACCGTTAGTAAGTCATTTATGCTCTGTAGATCTCAATTTTCTAATTTGTAGAATGAAAAACTTGGAATACGTTTTCAAGGTTTAATACGATAATCCTAAAAGCTTCTTAGGATGTGTACTGCAGAGGATGAGAATGGGGACCTTCAGGCCTGACATCACCAGTGAGTGGTGTGGCAGTGGAGCAAATGGCTTTTTATGCTTCATTTGATGGGAAACAGAAACTGATCTCTGGAGAATAGAGAATGATTTGACTTTCTTTGTTTCTTCAGGTTTCTCCCAATAAGTCATCCCAGGTTTATTCGAACCATCCCGGAGCTGAGTGTTCGGCCAAGGTGAGGGGCTCCAGTAGCGTGGTCTCATGGAAGGAGTACCAGGCCGTGGAGCGAGAGACCTGACTGAGTTCTTGTATTAGTTGTGCCAGGGTTGCGACTGACTTTGCCTCTTTGTCCAGGTTGACTTATTTCTTAGTAGAGACATTTGGATCTCAGAGAGCTAGTTAGTGGGATGATATGAAAATTAATGTGAAAGCTCTATTCAGGGCTTAAATATCGTTTAAAGGCTTGGTAGAAGTTCTGTTTGTAGGCATGTGACAAAAAGAAACATTTTTGCTCTCAACCCAATTTTCTAGAACTCAGTAATTCCCAAATAAGCAACATGTAGCCAAGAATACCTGTTATCTGAGTGTAGGCTGCTTAGTGACTGGAATTTTAGGTCATTTTCTAGTGGATTCTGCAGAGGGATGTTCCACAAGAGATTCTGGATAGAGACCTAGTAGTTCTATGTAATGGTGGGTCCACTTTGGGATCGTTTTTTCAGAGAATCTTAAGCATTTTGATCCCTGGGCCTATCTGCTTCCGCTTTCTCCATTAAAAAACAAACAAAAAAAAACAAAAACAAAAACTCAGCCTCTCAGAATCGATAGGCCATCAGTGAATGAAGCTAGGTACACATGACTGAGAATGGCTCTTCAGGGTCACCCCTGGGATCCATTCGGGTTGTACGTCTTAGGTGCCTAGGGTTGTTATGGGAGCATCTTAAGTAACTTTCAGAGGGTGAGGTTTGGTCAATGTCCTGAGGAGATCAGAAAAGAAATGGAATATTTCTGAGAAAGCTTGTGTCTGAGATAGGGAAATATTCGTGGAACACTGAGTTGCAGATGCTAACAACGCTCTTGGTACTTCAAAGTAAGCCCTTCAGTTTCAGAATAATGAAATTTGATGGAGCATACATTCCTGTTTTTTTTTTTAATCTGGTCTCCTTAGTTTTGTAGATTTTGATTGTGCCCCCCTCCAGTCTTTGTTGTGAAAACAACGTATTAGTTGTTTTATTCTGCAGTATCTTTATCTCTGAGGAGTGATGTATTGTTTAAGGGTCGAAGTCAAGTAGTTTGTTCCAGGCAAAGGGTAGATATCGTGAATTAATGAATACTGCAAGAGAAAACCCACTGCGACCCTGAATGGTTCTTGACCTTCCGAGTGCTAGAACCTCTCATTAACTAACACCGCTGCTGTTGGTCCACTCTCCTGGTGTGAACCATAGTGTTGGTGCTTGACTGTGGCAGTGTGGGCCAAGCCGGGAAATGAGTGCTTACATTGAGTAGGTGGGGGATGGAGAATTATGGTAACAGAAAGATGGTCAGATAAACTGTAGCATATCTTTCGCCTCCTACACTCACCTATGTTGTACTATTACTTATTTTAATCAAGGCTCCTGAGAAGCGTAACATAATAAGTGGAATTACTGCCACATTTCTCTAATGCTTGTGTTTTAAAATACATCTATTAAAGTCAGGAGGAAAAACATTTAATTGATGGTATTGACTTATTGAGGAAATATAATCATATTTTTATTCCCCACTTATATTTGGAGACCTTGTGCACAAAGAGAATGCCGTCTGTATTAGAGCTGAGTTCGGGGTTATTGAGGATCAGTCAAGCTAGGTAAGATGCTTCCTACTCAGGAGCAGGAGTTAAGAGAAGAGAGTACTTTAGGAGTCTGAGTGTATCTCTGGAATTCCTTCTGGTTAGTGAGTTTTCTCTTAACATTAATTTAGTTATGCCAACTCTTCTGTTTTTGCAGTTACTCTTTTTTTTAGAGAGGCAGTTTAAAATCATTTTAGGAAAAGAAAAAAAGATAAAACATACCTGCTGTGTGTGTGTGTTTTACTTTGTGTGTATGTGTGTGTATGTTTGGCTTAACAGCAGATTTATTTCTCACAATTCTGATGGCTAGAAGTCTGAGATCAAGATGTCAGCAGGTTTTGTTCTTCTGAGGCCTCTCTTTGCGTTGTGGATGGCAGTCTTCTTCCTGTGTCTTCACATGGTCTTCCCTTTGTGTTTATCTGTGTCTTAATATTCTCTCTTTTCTAAGATTGGATAATATTTCGTTTTATGTATAGACCACATTTTCTTTATCTGTTCATCTGCTGATGGACATTTAGGGTGCTTCCACATTTTGGCTACTGTGAATAATGCCACTGTGAATATGGCTACACAGATACCTCTTTGAGACCGTATTTTCTTTTTTTTAATATATGTTTTATTTTGTTGACATATGTTGTATTAGTTTCAGGTGTACAACATAGTGATTCAATATTTTTATGCATTCTGAAGTGATAACTATGATAAATCATTACTATTTGTCATATAGTTATTACAGTATTATTGACTATATTCCCTATGTTGTACATAACATCAAGACCCTGCTTTTAATTCTTTTGGACATATAACCAGAAGTGGTACATCATATGGTGGTTATGGTTTTAATTTTTTGAGGAATTTCCATACTGTTTTCCATAGCAGCTACACCTTTTGATAGCTGTACCAATAGTGTACAAGGCAGGGTTCCTTTTTTCCACATCCTCTCTAATACTTATTTTCTTTTTGTTTTTTTGTTTTTTATAATAGCCATCCGTACTGATGTGAGATGATATCTCACTGTGGTTTTAATTTGTATTTCCTTGATGATTAGTGATGTTTAGTACCTTTTCATGTGCTTCTTGGCCATTTGCATATTTTCTTTGGAGAAATGTCTATTCGAGTCCTGTTTTTTTTTAACTGGGTCATTTGTTTGTTTGTTTGTTTGTTAGTGAGTTGTAGCCTAAGCTATTGTAAGAACACCAGGCATATTGGATTAAGGCCTACTCCAGTAACCTCATTTTAATTTAATTCCCTCTTTAAATTTCCTGTCTCCAAATACAGTCACATTCTGAGGTAATGGGGGTTAGTATTTCAACACATGAATTTGGATGTGGGGGACACAATTCAGTCTGTAACAGAGGCATTCCAGTGTCAGTTATTGAGTGAATACATTTTTTTTTTCATCCTAACTACATAAACATTAGCTGGGCTGGGTTAGAAGGGTGGGAGTTCTGTGACTCCTTTGAAATGATTTGTGGACTGATAACTTTCAGACCACATTTCCCTGTTACTTATCTGAGAAGAAAAAAAACCCAAGAAAGTGATAATGTATTGGATTTTGTTAACCAATGTCACCATAAAAAAATAAAAAATAATAAAGTGATAATGGCAAGATAGCATTGGGGACAGAGCCCAGACTTCACCTCCTGGTTCAATAGCATAAAATGAGGATATGTATGAGTCGGGGAGTCCTGTGCAATCAGTCCATGGCCACTTGAGGACGAGAGTTTCAAGCAAGAAGCTTATCCACAGGTTGGTTTATGCTTTCCATTGCCTTTTTGCAAACAGTGAGCTGGAGAAGGATGGCCACACTGCTCTCAACACTCATTCCGTTAGCCCTTCAGAGAAGATTAAACAGTACCAGGCTGGTCAGACAGTGACTTGCTTCTTGAAGAAGGTGAGTAGTACACACTTTACAATGCCATCTTTTTCTCAGAAGAAAAGGAGAAGCTGGAGATGGGCCATTAGCACTAGGCTTTGATTCTGTGTTGCTGCCGTGCTGGTTTGTGGGAGACGATATAAGGCCTCTGCTCCTAGAAAACTTCTGGTCTAATCAAGAAGCTAACTTTACAGCTTATGAAAGGAATGGTTAGCAAGCAACTCGCAATTCAGCATGTTTAAATCTAACCCCAAGTGGAACAGGAGTTCCACTGTAAAATCCAATATAGCATTTATTTTAAATTTTGCTCTATGATATATTTTTCTTTTTCCCTTTCTCACTTTATCTCCAAACCTGTAGTGCACTCTCTTCCTATTGCCTATAACCCTTCAAGGTCCAGCACAGATAATTTTCCCTTATTACTAGTTCTCCTGTATATTCCCATAGCATATTGCATTTCTTACTTGTTGTTTGCTGCTCATGTTATTTGCATACTCAGTTGGCCTATTCTTTTTAGATTGTCACCTTGAAGGTAGGGCCTGGCCTTTTTTTATCATTATTATGCCATGTGCATAGTGGCTGCTTGATAAATGTTAGTCAAATTGACTTGAAAATTGGGATGTGTGTTTAAGGCAGAACATTGTGTAAATAGTAAAGGATCAAATCTAAATCAGGCTAAAAATAAGATGTTGGCCACTGAAGCTGGTTAACAGTGACTGAGCACAGCCGAGCTTGGTGGAGGCCACAGAGGTCAGGAGGGTTGGTCCTGCTGCTTGAGGGCCTCTCTGAGGCCTTTTTCGTCTTCTAATCAGCTGACGCACTAGGAGGGGTGCACATTCTGCTGGGCTAGCGAAGGCCCTGAGGTAGACTCTGAGTGAAGCCTGTGAGAAGTGGAAGTTGGGCAGGGGCAATGGGATGTAGGAGTGGACTCTTGATCCTTGGAAAAGTGTAGGTTAGGGCCCTTATAATCCTACGATTTTAGGAGAATCTGTGTTTTGATGATGGGAAAAGAAGAAATCTTATTATCTGCCTCATTCCATTTCTCCTCCTGTTCCCATTCCCAGTACAACGTGGTTAAGAAATGGCTCGAAGTAGAGGTTGCTCCAGACATCCGGGGGAGAATTCCCATATTGCTCACTTCTCTGAGCTTCAAGGTCAGTGTGCTTGAGATCCCTGGAGCGGAAACCCAGGCTCCCTAAGCTCAGTTCAGTGTCTGCTATGTGTTCACAGTGGGTACAAGGAGCTGTGTGCATATTCAGGGATTGGTTTGGGAAATGCTTGCTATGGAGACTTAAATGCTCTATGGTTTGAATAAATGACAGATGGTTCTTCAGATATCAAAGGACTTTTCTTATCCTTCCAGGTTCTGAAACATCCAGATAAGAAGTTCCAGATTGGCCAGGCCCTGAAAGCTACTGTGGTTGGCCCAGATTCCTCCAAGGCCTTCTTGTGTCTCTCACTCATAGGTGAGGTGATGAAATGGTACCTGGTCAGGGAAGGGAGCGGGGCAGAAAGGAGTGGGAGCAGAAAGGAGGGCAGAAGGTCTTCAGTTATTGCCCAAGTTGAAGGATGCCTTCGGTGCTAGAGTCCCCAAAGTCTAGTGTGGTTGGTACCTTCTCGGAACAATTTTTCTCTTGTGGGTTTGCTCTCTGGCCTGTGTTACTCCACTACTGAGTCACCTTTACCTGCACAGTTGGTTTTCTTAGGTCTTAGAAAAAGCTGTCGCCACATGGCCCGGGGATTCTGGACTACATGACTTGGTGATCTGGTTCTTTCTGATCATTCTGGTCCATTCAGCCCGGACACCCCACGTCTGGGCGGCCTCCATCTCCCCCAGCCTGTGGTTGGCCAACATTCCAGCTTCTTTCTTTGCTCATTTCCTCTTCCCTGAATCAGATTCATTCTCCTACCAGGTCCTCACAAGCTTGAAAAAGGGGAAGTGGCCATGGGCCGAGTTGTGAAGGTGACTCCCAAGAAGGGGCTGACTGTCTCCTTTCCCTTTGGGAAAATCGGAA